ACACTATGCGCAGGAATGCCAAAGCGCAAAGAAACCCTTCACAAAAAAGACTCCTTAGACACCAGTCCCAAAATCTCGACAAATCACAGGAACCAACATAGACCTGGTAGTTCAAATGGTCAACTCAGAGGAGTACGACGACCCAGAAACAGATGAATATTATAAAGACGCCAAAAGCAGGGACAAACGGACTTACAGTGAGAAAATGTAGGACAAGGATAGTACTTAGAAACCCAAGGAGAAAGCCCCCCCTGAACAAAGCCAACCTATGAGAAGACCCATGTTTAATGTGGTCACCTAATGGGAAGCCTTTAATACTATGGAAGTTGGTGGGGAATCAGATGATGATAGGCAACCTGAGTCAGTACAGGAACCAACCGATAGAGAAGCCATGGCCCGTTGGATGATAAAAGAAGAACCAGTAAATGACAAAGAGTCAATACATGACTCTATGCTAGAACTCCAAGACACCTTCAAGGAATCTCTCTCACATAAAGACCAAGAGAGACTCTTACAAATCACCAACTGGACCAGTCAACTCAAGACAATCATGGACAGAATCAGCAAAAGAGCCTATAGTAAAGACCCAACACAGCTCCCCACCCTAAACAGGTCCCACATGACAGAGCTCTATGCCAAGGTAATAAGCTTTGATCCAACTAACAGCCTACTTCAGAGAATTAAAAAAGAACCAGAAACCTTAGAAAGGGCAAAGCTACTAGCTTAATAGTAGATGACAGAGAACACTTAGTCAAGGAACTGGTTAGAGGCCCACAAGTAAGAATCCCTTAGACAGGTTCACCAACACCTATAGGAAACCACTGACAGGCAGTTGCCCCTAATAAAAACCACAAGCTCCCTAGCAATGGACCCAGAACACCTAGAACACTACTTAGTATTATGGCTCAACTGTTTCTTCGATAACTACATAGACAACAAGCACACTACCCTAAAGTTGCTCCATAGACACTACCTAGCACCAAGGGAAAAAGACAGGTCAGTTCTAGTACAGGCGGTACCATATACTAAGTATAAAGTCTACTTCTTAACAAAAGAGAATAATAAACCAGAGTATGTCTACCTGTTTCAGAACATACCAGAGACATGCTGGAACTACCATAACATGGAAGACTATATATATACATTCTACCAGTTCCATGTACCTAAGAGAACCTAGTATTTTAAGAAGAAAGAACTAGAAGAAAGAAAAAAGCAACATGCCCAAGTCATCCAGACCAGGAACCCCATTAGGATTATAGACGTCAATACTATGGCATGGAAGGAGTTAAGCACCATCAAGCCTTTCTAATTATAAGCCAAAGACTAGAAACTAAAGAGGAATGCCTATAAGGAAGTAAACAGAATAAAGTTCCCCCTCCAACATATTACCTTTAAGCCCATGATCTTAAGCAGAGAACATATGGGAAAAGGAAAGAGCTCTTCAAGCAAGAGCAAGTAAGACCACTGAGGTGGCTGATCAAAGACTAGAGAAGAAGGAAGAGGCCCTCTAGGTTAGGATCAATAAGCCCTCTGAAAGAATAGGCAGTCAGAGCCCTAAGGATAGGAAACACCAGGAAGGACTTCACTGTTCCTATCCTTTTGCCAGGAATAAAAGAACCCATCAATGTATTAATTGACTCAGGAAGTGACATTAATATAGTCGACCCTGCGATTATCAACCTCTACTGACTACCATACCAGTTATATGAAAAGCCAGTGACAATCAGAATATATAAGGGCAAGAAGGCTCTTTATAAAGGAGGATTGGTGAAGCAATGGTTAAAACTCTTAATTATAGTGGACAATGACCACCAAGAAACAATCTTCCAACTACTACTAATGGGTAGTAAGTGTTCCATAATACTAGGAAAACCCTGGTTGTTGAAGTATAATCCTGACATTGATTGGAAGAAAGGAACCATATCCTTATAAGACAGAGAGCAGGATACCTAAGAGAAGGGAAATCCTAAAGAAGATGATACCCTGGGAGAATTAGAAGAAGATATCCATGAAGACATATGACTATGGATTTGGATCATAATAATAAAGGACCTAGATAAAGAGTCCTTGCTATCTAGACCTAGTAAAGACCTAGGAGATCTATCAAAGGTACCAAAGGAGTATCTATAGTACTTACTATTCAGGAAGAAATTAACCAAACTACCTAAACATAGCCCTTATGATCATAAGATCAAGCTGAAGGAAGGAGCTAAGCTAAGGTTCTTCCTAACATACCACCTAAATCCATGACAGGATAGGGCATTGAAAGAGTATATCAAGGAATAACTAGCTATAGGGTTCATTAAACCATTATAGTCTAAAGCAGGATACTTAATCCTATTTATCCCTAAGAAAGAAACTATAGACTTATAGATGGTGGTAGACTACCAAACCCTTAATGAGGACACTATCAAGAACCAATATCTACTACCCTTAATATTAGAGATAAGAGAATAAGTAACCAAAGCAAATTGGTTTACTGCCCTTGACTTCCTGATGGGCTATAATCACATTTACATTAAGAAAGGAGACAAGTATAAGATAGCTTTCAAAGCATATCATAGCCATTACCAGTACAAAGTGATACCCTTTAGACTTACTAATATACCCATGACCTTTCAAGAAAAAGTAAACAATGTACTATATCACCTCTTATGCTTTATATTTATATATTTAGATAATATCCTAATATTCTCACAAATAATAGAGGAACATAAGAAGTATATACATATAGTACTGTAAGCCCTGGAAAAAGTGGATTTTTCAGTGCATCCTGGAAAGAGCCAGTTCCATGTTTAAGAATTATCATACCTAGGGTTTAAGATAACCCTAGGATAGATCATGATAGAATCATTAAAGTTAGATATAATTCAAGACTAGCTGGTACTAAAAACCCAGAAAGATATATAAGCCTTTATAGGTTTCACTAATTTCTACTATGGGTTTGTATGACACTTTGGAGACATTACAAAACCTATAAATATACTAATAGGCATGGGGAAACCATTCAAGTAGGAAGAGAAATAATAACAAGCTTTTGAAACCCTAAAAAAGACATTCACCCAAGCCCCTGTCTATGCCCTACCTAACTCATAAAAAAAATACATTATCAAGATAGACTCTTCTGATTATACATTAGGAGGTATACTAAGCCAGTTTAGAGACAATGGAAAGCTACACCCAGTAGCCTTCCTTTTGAAAGGACTACATGAGGCAGTAGTGAACTATAACATAGGAGATAAAGAACTGATGGCCATCATTTGATGCCTAGAGGAATGGGCACCATACCTGAGTGGTATGGAAGAACCCTTTAATATCCTCATAGACCACCTGAACCTAAGGACATAGGTAACCAAGAAACTTAATAGAAGATAAACCCAATGGGCCAAGTTTCTCGCACAGTTTAATTTCAAAATACACCATGTCAAAGGAAAGGAAAATAGAAGAGCAGATACACTGAGTAGGAGAATCAACCATAAAATAGAAGATAAGCCTAAGACTCTGCCTATACTCTAAGAATTGGAGGATGGAACCCTTGGGAGGGTACCATAAGTATTCCTGGAATGTTATGCTAACTACCAAGTGGAATGGCAGAGTAATAACTTCCAATACAAGAGAGGTATGCTTGATAATAAAGAACTCCTGTTGGAAGTGGAGGGAGGAGTGGAGAATGACTCACCACTTTGGTACCATGGGAAAGCCTATATCAAACCAAGGAGACAGGAAGAGTATATCCACAAAATACACAAAGCACACACAGGAGGACACATAGGAATCGCCAAGACACTAGACCAACTATGGAACAGCTATGACTTCCCAAAAGCAAAGGGGGTAGTGGAAAAAGTAGTACATAACTACGACATCTATAACAAAACGAAGAACCGAAAATACACATAGTATAGCCTACTAAAACCCTTACCAGTCCCAGAACAAAAATGGAGTTCTATTTTAATGGACTGGGTGTCAGGGATACCTGACTCAAAAGACCCAGTGATGGGTATCAAGTATAACCAGATCTGGGTCATAGTGGACAGACTCACAAAATGGGCTTACTTCTTACCAGCAAGAAAAGACATAAAAGTAGAGCAACTCACTTACCTTTTCAAGAGAAACTATATTACGGTATACTTGTGGCCAGATAATATAGTAATAGATAGGGACAAGCTAATTATCTCTACCTTCTAGCAAGGGTTAATAATAAGAATAGGAGTTAAGAGCAAACTCTCTACTGCCCACCATCCATAGACAGACAGATAGACAGAACGACTCAATCAAACCCTTAAGACATACCTAAGAGCCTATATCAACTTCAAGCAAGACAACTAGCTAGAACTACTACCGACAGCACAACTAACCTACAACATAACAATGGTAGAATCCACAAAAGTATCACCATATTTCACAGTTTTTAGCCAAGAACCCAAACTTAGAAGAGGACCACCCTGCAAGATACCAAGAGCAGGAGTTAAAGCAGATAGGATCCAAGAACTTATGGAACTACTGAAAGAAGAACTTGAACATATGCATGAAAGAATGAAACACTATTATGACAAACATAGAGTTAAGGGACCAACTCTAGAAGAAGGAGACCATGTCTACTTGTTTTCTAGAAATTTGAAGACCAAATGACCAAGCAGGAAACTTGACTTCAAAAGGTGTAGGCCATTTCAGATCAAAAAGAAGGTAGCAACAACAAACTATAAACTAGACCTGCCAAAGACCATAAGAGTCAGGACTAGGGTCTTCCATATGTCACTACTGGAACCAGTACTGAAGAATGTCCCACTAGAAAAGAGATTGGAAGTGGAAGTAAATGAAGAAGAATTTAAGGTAGAGGAACTCCTGGATTTATGATTTGAAAAAAGAGTGTTGTAATACCTAGTCAAGTGGCTTGGCTATGGACCTGTAGACAACTCCTGGGAACCACACATAGGGCTTCGATGCCCAGGACTGGTCAAGGATTTCCATCGCCTAAATCCCAACAAACCAAAAAGGAAAAGTGCCCCCAGGAGGAGTTAAACCCCTGACCTCTCCGACACTGTATAGGACAACTTGTACATGGGACATACACAAGTTGCCCCATACACAAGAGCAAAGCGCACTGCCACTACGCCACAGGGACGAAGTTGTTGAAAACGGCCTGGGTTGCAATGACCTATGAAGACCTAACACGCCTAGACACAAGGCATTAGTATACAAATCTCCTTATCTCCTTATTTTTCCTTATACTATCAGGAAAGAAAGGGTATTTACCTGAGGTCAGTGGAGGAACTAGTGATAGGACCCATGTTACCCAGAAGTTCAGGATCAAGCCAGGAACCCAGGGAGAAGTCCAGAACAGGAGCAGACACTTGCTCTAACGCCTCAAGTTCCATAATGTCCCAAGACTCCTGAGCAAATGCCTTACAAGCTCTTTCCTTTAGAGCACGACGCTGTTTGCATAGCCGAAGGAGCCTTGACTGAGCCTCCATGCTATCTGACAAAGCTTTCTCTTTAGCCTTGTCAAGTTTATTCTTTTGACTGATTAGAGAATCAAAGACCGATTGACTCAGACCCATGACGTCACAGGAAGGGGCATTCAACAAAGCACAAGGACCATAACGTCAGAGTCCGCTGGTGACCTTGTATTCAAGGTTCTTGTCGCTGTAATGAGTACATGAAGGCATCAGAGAACCAAACAAGAGAGAGTTGGTAGTAGAACAAAGGCGATATGTGGTACTAGGTTTGGGATTGGAAGGAGGATCTTTTCGTTTGTGACCTATTGCGAAGAAGGAAATAGGAATGGGTTGAAACAGCAATTTCAGACAGCGGGGTAAGCATGTTCTTATGGTGGAGCCACGGCAGATCTCTAGGATAGAAGATCTAGAGAGGGAAGACTATGTGTGATGTCCCACTTGGGGAAGTGGAGTCATGTGGCTTGTCTGGTGATTTACAATGATCTATGTGAACTTCGAACAGATCACATAGATCAGTGTACTTGACCCTTGGTCTGTTTGATCTCTGAACAGATCGCACAGATCATGTTTGCGCTCACCAAGAAGGATACAAGTTACCTTGTTCCCTGCTATTAGTTAGTCCATATAAGTAACCATCGTATACCGTACCATGGAGTGTGAGGATTCCTATTCCTCATACAAGCAATTACATTCTATTGTGTCCCATCACTTTATAAGTCTTTGGTGACAACAATCTGTTTGATAGAGTGTGAACCCCCTCCTTGAGATACTTGCCTTTGAGAGTTAACCTTCCCCACAAACCCCAACCCTAGAGCATGCGGCTCTATGATCTGTTGTTCAACACCCAGTACTTAGGTACCTAGTGTACAGATTGTAACACAATCCCAGATCCCTTAGAAGTCCTAGAATAGGTTAGGGACATCTACCCTAAGGAATATGTTATGGAAAAGGTATTAAACTCTAGAAAGAAGGGTAATAAGGTTAAGTACTAGGTCAAGTAGGAAGGATATGATAAGCCTAAGGAACTTACTTGGGAACCCTATGAGCACTTCATAGAAGTTTTGGAACTTTGGGACTTCCATGTCAGTTACCCCTATAAGCCCAAGGATCCAAGGGTCACTGATCCTAGTCCCATGGTCAGGACATTATGAGAGGGGGATAGTGTCATACTTGTCAAGCTCACCTAAGGTCAACAGGGTGATTCACCTCCTTGACCTGGGCTGACCATAGACATGACGATTCATATACCATGGACCATCAGGAGTGGGGACTAGAGCCTTAGTCATTGGTAGTTACTATCCAGGCAAGATGGGCCAACCAAGGATCTCTAATAGATTGGATTGAGACCTTGGCCCACACACAAGCAAGGGACAATCCATACAGTGGATCAACCCATACTAACCTTATCATCAGACTTCAGATTTATCATGGATGAACCACATAACCTCGGCATCGTGGTCCAGGCTACATGATAGCTAAACAGATCGTATAATGGTCTTTCAATCAGGGACCTCTCTGATATTATAGTTGTCCTGTTGGAAGACCTTGAACCAACACTTATCAAGCACCCATCTCAGTGGTGACAGGTGGTCATGACCAGGCCCACTTAGGCAGTGATGAGTCATAAAGGGAACCACTACTATGACAGTCAATGTGGGACTAACCTAATAATGCTATGGCCAGTGATAATACCAAGGACTTAAGGGAACCTCCATAGTATGCTATTGAGAGTAAGTACCAACATAGGCCAAGGACTTGTCATGAGATGGCCGGCTTTACTTGGTATGTAGCCATGGATTGATAAGGTGCTTTTGACAGGCGGCTAAAGGGATCCTTGGGACTGATGGGCAGTTAGGATGGATCAAGGGAACATTGTATCTAGTACATAGCCTTCCATAAAAGAGATGAAGGAGCGCTAAACCCTCAGAGGAAGAAGAAGCTCTATAGTCCTTTTTGGAAACTGACCTTAGAAAGATTATTAGCTGAACTTTAGTGAAGCTGAGGGGAATTCTATCCTTATGGAACCCTTGTTGTTTGTTTATTAATTCTTCATTTATACCTTCTGAGATAGTGACCTTGTTGACTTGCTCTCATGTACTGTACTTGGTGATCCTGTCCCTGATTACTGCAAGGAGCTCTATGGTGGTTTGGATGTGACCGGCAACAAGTAACCACCCTCTTCTTCAATTGACTTGCAACTGCAAAGGCATCGTGTGTTATTCCCTGTTTGATCATTCCATCTCCCTGAATGATTTGATAGTCTGACATTGTCTGGATCATCGTTACAGCTCTGCAGTTTCATCTTACAGTGTTTGCACACCTTGTCGTTGTCATCCCCGCTCCACCTTACTTCTCACCTAGGTGTGGCGCCGGTGTCACACCGGATTACCAGCCAGATTACCATCACTCAAGGGCCCAAGGACATTAGATTCCTTACGGGCTTGGATTTGGACTTTCAGAGTCTTGATCAGCATCAGAGTCTTCATTCTCATTGGCCTGTAATTTGGGAAGAGGGTTCTTTGGCTTCTTGATAGCCTAAACATTCTTCCCCTTAGGGTTGGCCCAGGCAATTTGACGTTTTCCTAGCATATATTCAGCTCACTCCATGCGCTATGAGTTATAAGTCAGTATGATTACCATACAGATTACCACAACTTAGATGTAAACATACCTCACCAGCCAGTTACTGAAATATTATGGGCGTTTAGTAAAGGGAATTCACGGCCCAAAATGAGCCTACAGAAGCAAATTTCCATATCAGCCAGAACAGAAGCTATATATCCTTTGGCATGACCATAACACGGCAGGCATGGATTACAAGGAGATTCATGGCTAGAAATATAGAATTAGTATATATAATAATATTATATCACTGATAATAAGGGTACTTATAGTCAAAGACATTGACTAAAAACCCCTTTGATGCTTCTTAAAGGCATTCAATGGCTACCCATTGCCATCTAAAACCCTCCATGACCGAGGTATCATAGGTAACCTCTTTGACCAGGCAAGCAAACAGGGCAAAGGGTATCAAGAGTTGGGTTGATTTTTGGAAGGCCATGATTTCCTTTAAAGCTTTTACTATAAATAAGGTTAGTCAATGGATTACCATAGGGATTAACATAATATATACCTCTATGTCTAGCCTTTCTCTTTGTCTTAGGTATCTTGGTACTACCATTCATATTCCGGTTCTGCTTCTTTAAGATAGTCAGGAGCTATATAATCTTTTTACCCCCTTTACCCCGTTGAGCTGGAGTCTTGCCATTACCCTACAGAACTAGATTCTTATAAGGGTACTTACCGGCTGGCATAAGGGTTTTCATAGGTCCCCTGAAATTTTTAGCCAGTACCTACTATTCAGTCTGCTTTTACAGCTCAGCTTTACAGGCTATAGCATCCTTTTTCTATGTAGCATCTTCTTTTTGCTTTTTTTTCAGTACCGTAGCCTCCTCTCTTTCCTTTTTCTCTTAGGCACATTCTTCCTCTCTCTCCTGCTTTTACTACATGATTTCAGCGGCTTTTTTAGCTTCTTTTACCACTCTTTTCCACTCTCTCTTAGCAAAATTAGCCGCCTTTTACTCTATGGAGAGTGGGGACATTATCATAAACTGCAATGGCATTAGCAATTACCACCAGGATTAGCACATCTTGATATATACTGATACCTAGAGGCCGGCATAGGGTGGCAGTGTAAAGGTGTGGCGGCGTAAGGGTGTGGAGGTGCAAGGGTATGGAGGTGTAAGGGTGTGGAGGTGGGTAAAGGTTTAGAAAGGATTTTGCCCCGCTACTGCCCATTTTAGTTTTCCATATGGCCCATACACCTAATCACGGTTCAGGTGGCCCGTGCGCTTGTGTAATTTTTAAATATAGCAGGCATGAATTTAATTCCCCTACCCTCCAAAACAATAAAACCTATGCCTATATAAAAACCCCACCAACCACCTGCCTTCCCATTGCCCTATGTTATAACCTGCTTTTGGATATAAGTATGGTAATCTTTATGATAATCTACCTACTAATATAGGTTTTCAAGGTTAATGAGATAGCAAAGAGAAAGGACCCTGGTGACCTAAGCCAAAACCCAAACACTAAAAAGATATAGGAGAGATAGGCTAACCTAGATCCTATTACTTATATAGTAGAGAAAGCCCAAAAAGCCTTAATGGAAAGGATAAGGTGGTAATTAAAGGCACTTTAGTATTTAGAATAGTATCTTTAAGCATCTATTAACCAGAGACATAACCTTAAGGAGGAAGAGAAAGCAGACATTTACCAGTATTAGTAAGTCTATATTATATTAATCAATATGGTTATCCCTTATTAATAAGATAATAGCCGTATAAAAAATACCTATCCTGATCAGCTTAAGCTATAACTTGGGACTGGTATTAATAACTTTATTGATAGCCTAGATTAAGAGGAAATTCCATGGGATGATTTAGATAAGGAAGTAAGATGTAACTAAGAGGACTAAGAAATAGAGTTTTAGAAGTTAATAGGTATTATATAGAAGTATTATGTTGTATTTGAAAACATGGTAGATACCCTTAGTCTAGGCCAAAATAAGGAGGAGTGTAATTATATGCTTACTTTAGTATAGCTCTTTTTATCCCTAAATAATAATAACTAACTAGTTCCCTAGGCACTATATTCTACTAATCAT